ATGCTTGTACATGTATGTGTAGTGTGACCCAAGTGTAAGTAGAAGTAGCAAGACATGCCTGTAATCTTGCATATTTATGAGACAGACAAAAGACATCAGCAAACCTACCATCATGTAAAACAATCACAGGGTTCGTTTTTACACTCACTTGGCAGGACGGTAGTAACTCCCTGGGTGGTTGCTGTCTACCAACCTACTACCTATAATATATATATATATATATATATATATATATATAAATATATATAAAATATATATATATAAATATATTATATATATATATATAATATAATAATATATATATATAATATATATATATATATATATATAAATATATGCAGTAATGTTAAATGAACAGTTACGGAAGGAGAAAAGAGAATATGAATGTGTAAATTCAAGAATTATGTGGATTAAAGTAAAGGGTTTGGGTGCGAGAAGGGGGGTCATAATAAGCGTGTATGCACCTGGAGAAGAGGGAATGCAGAGGGAGAGAGAGAGATTTTGGAGATGTTAAGTGAATGTTTTAGGAGCCTTTGAACCAAGTGAGAGAGAAATTGTGGTAGGGGAAACCCGAATGCTAAAGTAGGAGAAACTTTTAGAGAGGGTGTGGTAGGTAAGTTTGGGGTGCCAGGTGTAAATGATAATGGGAGCCCTTTGATTGAACTTTGTATAGAAAGGGGTTTAGTTATAAAGGGAATACATATTTTAAGAAAAAGAGGATAAATAAGTATACAAGATATGATGTAGGGGGAAATGACAGTAGTTTGTTGGATTATTATTGGTAGATAAAAGACTGTTGAGTAGACTTCAGGATGTACATTTTATAGAGGGGCCACAGATACTCAGATCACTTTCTAGTTGTAGCTACACTGAGAGTAAAAGGTAGATGGGATACAAGGAGAATAGAAGCATCAGGAAGAAGAGAGGTGAAGGTTTATAAACTAAAAGAGGAGGCCGTTAGGAAAGATATAAACAGCTATTGGAGGATAGATGGGCTAATGAGAGCATGGGCAATGGGTCGAAGAGGTATGGGGTAGGTTTAAAAATGTAGTGTTAGGTGTTCAGCAGAAGTTTGTGGTTACAGAAAGTGGGTGCGGAGGGAAGAGGAGCGATTGGTGGAATGATGTAAAGAGAGTAGTAAGGGAGAAAAAGTTAGAAATAAGAAGTTTTTACAAAGTAGAAGGAATGCAAGGAGGGAAGAGTATATGGAGAAAAAGAGAGAGGTTAAGAGAGTGATGAAGCAATGTAAAAAGAGAGCAAATGAAGAGGGGGTGAGATTTTATAAACAAATTTTTTGTTGAAAATAAGAAAAAGTTTTGGAGTGAGATTAACAAGTTAAGGAAGCCTAGAGAACAAATGGATTTGTCAGTTAAAAATGGGAGAGGAAGTTATTAAATGGAGATTAGAGGTATTGGGAAGATGGAGGGAATATTTTGAGGAATTGTTAAATGTTGATGAAGATAGGGAAGCTGTGATTTCGTGTATAGGGCAAGGAGGAATAACATCTTGTAGGAGTGGGGGAAGAGCCATTGTGAGTGTGGGGGAAGTTCGTGAGGCAGTAGGTAAAATGAAAGGGGGTAAGGCAGCCGGGATTGTTTGGGATAAAAAATAGAAATGTTAAAAGCAGGTGGGGATATATTTTGGAGTGGTTGGTGCAATTATTTAATAAATGTATGGAAGAGGTAAGGTACCTAGGGATTGGCAGAGAGCATGCATAGTTCCTTTGTATAAAGGCAAAGGGGGACAAAAGAGAGTGCAAAAATTATAGGGGGATAAGTCTGTTGAGTTTTATCTGGTAAAGTGTATGGTAAATTTATTTTTTGAAAGAATTAAAAGTAAGACTGAAAATAGGATAGCAGATGAAAAGGAGGCTTTAGGAAAGGTAGGGGGTGTGTGGACCAGGTGTTTACAGTGAAACATATAAGTGAACAGTATTTAGATAAGGCTAAAGAGGTCTTTGTGGCATTTATGGATTTGAAAAAGGTGTATAAACAGGTGGATAGGGGGGCAATGTGGCAGAGGTTGCAGGTGTATGTGTAGGAGGTAGGTTACTGAAAGCAGTGAAGAGTTTTTACGAGGATAGTGAGGCTCAAGTTAGAGTACATAGGAAAGAGGGAAATTTTTCCCAGTAAAAGTAGGCCTTAGACAGGGATGTGTGATGCGCCGTGGTTTTTTTAATATATTTAATAGATGGGGTTGTAAGAGAAGTAAATGCGAGGGTCTTGAAAAGGGGGCGTGGAGTTAAAAGATAAAGAATCACACATAAAGTGGGAGTTGTCACATTTTGCTCTTTGCAAAGACACTGTGCTCTTGGGGATTCTGAAGAGAAGCTGCAGAGATTGGTGGATGAATTTGGTAGGGTGTGCAAAAGAAGAAAATTAAAAGTGAATACAGGAAAGAGTAAGGTTATGAGGATAACAAAAATATTAGGTGATGAAAAGATTGGATAAACAGATTGGAGGGGGAGAGTATGGAGGAAGTGAAGTATTCAGATATTTGGGAGTGGACGGTCAGCGGATGGGTCAATGAAGATGAGGTGAATCAAAGAACGATGAGGGGAAAAGGTGATGGTTTCAACTTAGGAGTCTGTGGGGACAAAGAACTTTGTCCTTGGAGGCAAAGAGGGGAATGTATGAGAGTATAGTTTAACCAACACTCTTATATGGGGGTGAAGCATGGGTGATGAATGTTGCAGCGAGGAGAAGGCTGGAGGCAGTGGAGATGTCCCTGTCTGAGGGCAATGTGTGGTGTGAATAAATGCAGAGAATTCGTAGTTTGGAAGTTAGGAGGGGGTGCGGGGTTACCAAAACTGTTGTCCAGAGGGCTGAGGAAGGGTTGTTAGGTGGTTCGGACATGTAGAGAGAAAAGGAGCGAAACAGAATGACTTCAAGAGTGTATCAGTTTTGTAGTGGAAGGGAAGGGGGGGTAGGGGTCGGCCTAGGAAAGGTGGAGGAGGGGTAAAGGAGGTTTTGTGTGCGAGGGCTTTGGGCTTCCACAGGCGTGCGTGAGCGTGTTTGATAGGAGTGAATGGAGAAAGAATGGTTTTTAATACTTGTGCTGTTGGAGTGTGAGCAAAGTAACATTTATGAAGGGTTCAGGGGAAAACCCGGGAGGCCGGACTTGAGTCCTGGAGATGGAAGTACAGTGCCTGCACTCTGAAGGAGGGGTGTTAATGTTGCAGTTTAAAAACTGTAGTGTAAAGCAACCTTCTGGCAAGACAGTGATGGAGTGAATGATGGTGAAAGTTTTTCTTTTTCGGGCCACCCTGCCTTGGTGGGAATCGGCCAGTGTGATAATAAAAATAATAAAATATGTATATATATATATTTTTTTTTTTTCAACAAGTCGGGGTAATTTCTTTTTAAGGGACAACAGTTTGGCCTTAAATACTTTAGACTGGCTGCAGTGGCTGAGTACCAATAAAGACCAACATTCATAGAGTCCAAGTGCAATGTTATTATCAAAAACTTGAATATTTTGTCAAGTAAAATAACTGCTAATTCTTTCTCCTTCAAAAATATAATACATCATGTTGTAGAGCATTTATAATCTCAGTGTCAGCAGCAAACATTATTTGGTAAATAATGTGGGTAAAAGCAAGTTTTAAATTTCCGTGTTATAGAAACAAGGTACGAGGACTGATTTTTATGCAGAATTAACATTGACAACTCTGGGCACAAATCTACTGTAACTACCCTGACATACTCATGTTAGATGCATGTGGTAACAGAAGCTGAAAAACTGAGCACTATAAATATACTTTACTTAACCAAAATACCTAAGTTGTATAACAACAGTCAGTGAACCAATAACTAAACATCTTTTTATACATACCAAAGGATGCTCAGTTTACCTAGAGATTCAGATGGCTATAAGACTATCACAACACAAAACCTTAACAAGGACACAAACTTTCTTCACCAAAGCCAGGGCAAATTCTCTCAAGAACATCAGAGTAAAAAAAAAAAAAAAAAAAAAAAAAACTTTGTTACTTCATGGCCACCAACCCTAGATCTGCATAAATTTATGGACAGCCAAACACTGGCAAACCTATTGCAGTACACCACTACACCCTATTACAGTATCTCTGGCATCCGTAGTGTGCCTCCAAAACTAGCTCGTCATCTGGCAAGACACCTTTTTAAACTCTTATACTATCAGTTCATTGCACCTAAAACATTCAGATAGCCTCACTTATCTCATCTAGGCAACACTACCATCAAAAACAAGAAATGCAGTAGCCTGGGTATCACTTTCTACTTCACCCAAATCTCCACTGAAAAAGTAATCACCTTTCCCTGGAACCCCACCTTCAAGGACTTTGATAGTTCCCTTTCCCTACGGACTTTAAGTTCATTGAACTTTTGAGTTCCTTCTATTGTCTTTGAACTCATTCTCAGTCCTAACTCTTTACCCCAACATCATTAAAAACCATGACAAATTATCAAGACTCATGTTTTTATGTATAAAAATAAATAAATAAATAAATGTATGAAAATTAGTAAATCACAACACAATATTAAAACAAAACTAATTATGAAATTACAAAAAAAAATTATTTTAAAATCCAGATAAGCAGTTTCAACACCGAAGAACATGGTATCTCGACAATTTTCTTTTGAAAGGTGAAATGCCTTTAGGTCTAGAGTAGAGGAACTGATAATGCCTATCAATTTTGAAAATCAAGGATAAAAAAAGACTAACTGCACTTCAATCCAGGCAATTTAACTGTTCTGTTAATATACCTATTTAACTATCCTTTATAATCTATTTTATATGAGGTGAATTATGCAACCATCTGTCTCCCTATGCTCATGTATATTGTCAACTTGTGAATATCAAAGTTAACAAAGTATACAAACACATTAATCTCTTTTACTACTCAAAACAATTAATTTAGGCAAGGCCCAACCCTCCACTTCCTCTGACATCCTTTCTTTCATTTATATGTGTAGTGTTCCTAACCACAGGAGTACTGGACTAATAACAAAACTACTAACCGAAAACCAGCAGATACTTTGCCATAGCATGGAAAGCACACTTGGCGTGCATCACATGCCTCCTTATTAGAATGGGCAAGCGAGGTCTCCAGTAGCTGTAACAAAAAACATTAAGTTTATTTCAATATTGGCAAAAATTAATACTATTACTTAATTAGATCATTTATTGTTTTACTAACACTCATACGTATTATCAAGCTACTGTAATTATAAACAATAACCACTTGGAAATATATTTTTTTTAAAAAATAAACAATATGAAAAACAACCATGGGGGAGGGGGGATTTAAAGCTCATTCAATTCCCCCCATGGTTGTTTTACATCTTGTATCGCTTGTTTGCGATTTCTGCATGAAACAACACAAAGCAAGTTTCTTGACCATATTCCCATCATGGGTAAAACATTAAGCCAAATCTTTATTGTATAAACAGCTAACCTAGAATTTTACAATGTGCAAAAAGCTTAGTCTTCTAACCTTCAGAGCCATTGAGACTGTAATACTCTCAAATCCAGATAATGGACTGGTAAGCATGTACCACCAATCTTCAGGTTTTCCAGTGAAACTTATTCCACAAATGTTACAGATGCCAGTGTGAGTCAACTCTTCAGCTGTTGCTGTAGTTTCATTCTGGCTATTCTTTCCTTTTTCTGGTGTTTTGGCTTCACCTTTTATGGGTGATAGTGTTTCTACTTGCCTCTGATTGTCATTACGGTTTGTAGCTAAGTGATGATGAGATCTTTTAGGCAACAAGACATTCTTTTTTTTACGTGGTGTGTCAAAAGTTTCATTCAAGTTTTCTTCTATTAATTCTTTGTTTTTGTCAACTCTCGCCACTGCCTCATCATCCGATCCTTGTGAACTCATTGCATCCATGTCTATGAAATAGTTGCCATGCTCATCCTGCGATACATTTAATCCCCCATCTTCGTCTTCAGCTTCTGTTTCAACTCCATTGTCATCCATGTATCCTTCTGGTTCATTTACAGACAAGACCTTTTGCTCACTGTTACTGTCGTCATGCATTATCCTATTAGGATCACACTCATTACTATTTCTATTATTCTGAGGTACAGATTCCACCTTGCTGGTACGATCTTCTAATCTTTTGGTCATACAATCACTGGTTAAAATCTTGTAACACTCAGCCAATGCAGGGGGTAGAAGTTTGGCCTGCAACAGATTAATGATAAGACAACAACTTAAATTTTGAAAGGGAAAAACTGCAACAGCATTTAGAAAAGAGTAGGAGTGCTCGGTTTAATAAAAAATGATTCCAATATTTACCAAATACACAATTTACAGAAACCTTATTACATGTGTGATTCCATATTACAGAATGTATTATAAACAATGTCTTAAAGCAAAAGGAAGAAATTTTGAAGTTAAGCTGTTTAAATGTCCATGAATGTAAAATATATGTTAAGAGAAGTGAGCATTGATGTTATAAATGAAAGGAAACTGTATGTCCTAGCACAATGAAACAAAGGTTAAATGGGTGGGAGAGTTGTAAAGGGAAGGAGTAAATGGGATTTACTCAGGTGTATCTCCCTTAATCCCTTTAATATACAGTGGACCCCCGGTTAACGATATTTTTTCACTCCAGAAGTATGTTCAGGTGCCAGTACTGACCGAATTTGTTCCCATAAGAAATATTGTGAAGTAGATTAGTCCATTTCAGACCCCCAAACATACACGTACAAATGCACTTACATAAATACAGTTACATAATTGGTCGCATTCGGAGGTAATCGTTATGCGGGGGTCCACTGTATTTACCAGATCACTTATTCACCAATAATTATTTAATTTTTTAAAAGGAGAAAACACTTGTCATTCACAAGGGTTATATTTTGATAAGAATGAGGAAATGGCTGCAAAAGGATCTGGACAAACTGCAGGGTTGGTTAGATAAGTGGTTGATTGAATTCAACCCCCAGCAATGCAAGGTTATGAAGATTGAGAAGAAACCAGAAGACTGAACACAGAGTATAGCCTAGGGGGACAGAGGCTGCAGACCTCATTCAAAAAGAACCTGGGAGTCAGCATAGTGCCTACCATATCGCCAGAGTCTCACATCAACAGAATAACCTCTACAGCCAAATGTTTACTTGGTACATCTAAGAGTGGCTTTCAGAATTCTTAACAAAGTCATTCCACATACAACATATGTCTGGCCCATCTTCGAGTATGTAGCATGAGTATGGAACCCACGCCTGAGGTAGAATGTTAAAAAGCAGGAGAAAATGCAGTAATATGAAAAGAGACTAGTTTTAGAGGTAAAGGGTATGAGCTACAAGGAAAGGCTAAAGGAACCGAATCTAATGCCCCTGGAGAATAGAAAAACCAGGGAAGATGTGATAACAACATACAAAATAATCAGAGGAATTGATAAGGCAGACAGGGTCAGGCCGTTTGAGAAGTGGGGAACAAGTACTCAGGATCACAGCTGAAAGTCAGAGACACAGATGAATCACAGGGATGTTGGGAAGTATTTCTTCACTCTCAGAGTGGTCAGGAAGTGGAATAACCTTGATGGAGGTGATGAAGGCAGATTCCATATACGTATAGTTTTAAGAATAGGAAAGAGTGAGTCTGGCAAGTGGCAAGTTAAGAAGTGGGGCCAAGAGCTAAGACTCAACGCCTACAACCACATACAGGTAAGTGCATGTGAGCGAGTACATTGATTGCGCAAATGATGGTGAATGTGTATTTTTGGGGAAATGTCACTCTGTGGGAGATATCCGTTAAGGGGAAAAAAATTACTCTCCAAGTGTGTGTGTGTGCTGCATCTACCTGGCTGAGATTTGCAGGTTTTGTGTTTCAGCTTTTAGGCATGCTTTATAACTTTTAGTCAGCTGACATTATCTAATTCTGTCATATTTACTTTTGACACCATGCATGGATTAAGCAACTACTGTGCCATGAACGTGAGTACATGCATATGTGTGAAGAGGAAAATCTGGAATGCGTAAAAAATGTAAATTTTCAATTCATATTTTCTAAATGTGTGAAACTGTGGTGACAGAGGAAGATTCAAGAAAACAGAAGAACCTCTATTTATGGAGGTACAGTAGACCCTCGGTTTTCATAATTAATCCGTTCCAGAAGGTTGGCCAAAATCCGAAATGACCGAAAACCAAAGTAATATTTCCCATAAGAAATAATGTAAATCCAATTAATCCGTTTCAGACACCCAAAAATATAAATAAAAAATAGATTTTATAGAGAATAACTACAGTTTTACATACAGAAAACAATGAAAAACAAATATAAATGGCTAATTTTAATGATAAATGAACATTACATATCTTTATTGAAGACTCTTGTTGGCGAGTAGTATTTATTTGTAGTCCCAGACGGACTACATCCCAGCGTATACCTACCAGTTACATACACTGCGGCCTACAGCCATATTATTACCATCAACATACCATGTTCACCGAGTTTAATCATTTCTAACAACTACCTTTAGATGCCATCATAGACAAAGGGAGAAGTTATGAATAATTCATGCAGATAATTGTAAACAAAAGCGGTTAAGGGCGGTTACTGGGCCAACGCAGATTCATAAAGTTTTCTCTAATGCTGGACCAGAGAAAACGTAATGTTTACCCTCCACCGCATATAAACATTGCATGTTTATGTGCTATGTAACGTGTTTCTTACATAATTTTGAAGAAAATATCATAGATGAATTAATGAAAATGTCTATATTAACCTAAACTAAGACAGTTAATGTGCCTAAGAGTGAATCACGAATGTACGAGCAGCCCAGGTGCATACGTCTAGTACCAATGATTTCCGAGGGGATGTACAAAACCCGGGGGGATATTTCGCCAAAAATAGTGCTCGAAATCCGAATTGTACGATTTCTGCACCGGCTGAAAAACAGGGGTCCACTGTACATGACATTTCATTCACACAATGAGGTTTCTCTAGTAAATCTAGGTTCTAAAGGTTCTTGTTTTCCTAGGTCTTTTTATTAGTATTTTCTAACTCAAGAAACACATATCACATAAACGTACAATTTCTGCAGCATGTTCTTCAGTTGTAGCTCTGTGAATTGGATTGCGAGAAGTTGCTGCAACTGGGACAGTACCTGAAGACGACCCCTCAACCGACGTGCCCTTCATGAGCTTGTTTTTGTAATTCCGCCGAATAATAACAAAACAGGGATTGCACACAAAACGAATCCCTTTCATCTTTGGTTCAATATGTCGAGCAAGACCCAATTGCTGTAAAGGCATAAAGATTTATGAGTAAAAACACTGCAAAAATCAATACTTTGGTTTTTTTTTTTTCAACAAGTTGGCCATCTCCCACTGAGGCAGGGTGAACCAAAAAGAAAGAAAATCCCCAAAAAGAAAATACTTTCATCATCATTCAACACTTTCACCTCATTCACACATAATCACTGTTTTTGCAGAGGTGCCCAAAACACAACAGTTTAGAAGCATATATGTATAAAGATACACAACATATCCCTCCAAACTGCCAATATTCCAAACCCCTCCTTTCAAGTGCAGGCATTGTACTTCCCATTTCCAGGACTCAAGTCCGGCTATATAAAAATAACCGGTTTCCCTTAATCCTTTCACTAAATATTACCCTGCTCACACTCCAACAGCTCGTCAGGTCCCGAAAACCATTCACCTCCATTCACTCCTATCCAACACGCTCCTGCACGCTTGCTGAAAGTCCAAGCCCCTCGCCCACAAAACCTCCTTTACCTCCTCCCTCCAACCTTTTCAAGGATGACCCCTACCTCGCCTTCCTTCCACTACAGATTTATACGCTCTCCATGTCATTCTACTTTGATCCATTCTTTCTACATGATCAAACCACCTCAACAACCCCTCTTCAGCCCTCTGACTAATATTTTTATTAACTCCACACTTTCTTCTAATTCTTAAAATTCCAAGTGAAAAAAAAGGAGCTGTTATGAAGAGTCTTTCTAGCTAAGTGATGAATATTTTTATTGGAAAATAATTACTTCACTATAATTTACATATTACATTCAGTTTTTAATTACTTAAAGTACTATCTCTATAGCGGGATCCCCAAACAATTATATATTGAATGGGTTCTGGACACTTTATGACATGTCAGTGAATTCATCAATTTAAAGCTAAAGCCATACAATTTTTTGTAAACTACTTTTCAACTCCTCAATCAGTGTTCAAGAAACCATCCATAATCTCAATCCTTCTTGTTATTGTCTTACTAGACAGTTGTGAATGTTTTACTGATGACAAGATTTCCTTTTACTAGCAAAACCTTCAAAATAATTTCATGCCTCTTAACCACTTAGACATATTTAAAACCTTTTTTTTTTCTTTAAAGACTGCAGTAGCATTCTTACATTTTACCGGGCACTGTACAAACTGACTGTTAAGATGCTAGTTTTAATTTTAAATCATTTATTTCCCTAATTTCGAAAATATTTGGATAATTAACGAAGTATGAAAATAACAAGCAAGGAAAAATATTATTACATTCATTAGAGTGATAAACCCACAGGGGAATGGGGAAATGAACGGCACTCAGGTTCAATCCAAGAAAGCGGAAGTCAGGTCAACTTCCTTGGACCAAGAGCCCCTTACTGGCATCAAGGAAGCCCCCCCATAAGGGGATCTTGATTCAAGGAAGGGAAGGTCAAGTCAACTTCCTTGGATCAACAGCCCCTCACTGTCATCAAGAAAGCTGCCATGAGAGCACAAGGTACATGTATGGTAGGCTGCAGAACAATAAAACAATCAACGCGTTTCCCAGCACACTTACCTCCATCACCTGCGCAATATCAAACTCGTCATTGACTCTCTTTTTGAGGGGAAAACGCTGGTAGCCTCGGTCACCACTTTCAAAATTGTTATCACACATAACACAATGTGTGCTGTGGTGAGCATTGCTTGCACGCCTTTGCTCCAGCTGCTTCGTCTTTGAAAGTTTTGTACTCTTGCTCTTCACTGATTTTGGCCAAGTTTCTGACTGTTGCACAGTCCAAATATTTTGTCTCTTTCTTGTTTCCAAGTCTTTCTGTTTCTTATGTGTTTGTCTTAGTTGCTTTTTTCTTTGCTGAGCTCTATGTTGCTTTTTAATTTGCTTTATTTTGGCCTCCTCTTCTTTTAGTGTCTTCTCATTCTCAAGGTGCCTAAGAAGTCAAGTGTACATTTACTTAATTATACTACTCTATCTAGTAATAATTTGCATGTTTACTATTTTTAATTTGGTTGTAATTTAGACACTAGCTTTCTTAGAAAATACAATACATACTGCAATTAATACCCTATGATCAAGGAAAAGAAAAGGAAAAAAATTCTTAGCTGAATTAATAAAAAAATAATCTCAAAATACAGACTAGGTATTTTTTTTATGACACTGGCCATCTCCCACACAGGCAGGGTGACCTGAAAATGAAACACTTTTACCATCATTCACCCCTCCTCCGTCTTGTCAGAGGTGTGCTGATACTACAGTTCAGATTACCCTCTAAATTGCAAATATCCCCACCCCTCCTTCAGAGTGTAAGCACTTTACTTTTCATCTCCAATTCTCAAGTCCAGCTAACAAGTTTTCCTGAATTTGTTTACAAATTCAGGAAACTGTGTTACTGTGTTCACACTGCAACTGCTCATCAAGTCCCAAAAACCATTTGCCTCTATTCACTCCTGTCTAACAAACTCACACACACCTGCTGGGTGTCCAAGCCCCTTGCATACAAAACCTCCTTTACCCCCTCCCTCTAAACTTTCCTAGGATGACCTTCCCTCTACTACAGATTTAAACACCATTGAAGTCATCCTATTTTGCGACAAAACTTCCCTACCTTTATCTAAATATTGTTCACTTATATACTGCAATGTAAACACTTGGTCTACACATCCCCTACCTTACTTAAAACCTTGTTCATCTGCAATCCTGCTCTCCCTCTTACCCTTAAGCATACACTTTAGGTGGTATACTTTATAGGCCTTTTTTTTTTTTAACGAGTCGTCCGTCTCCCACCGAGGCAGGGTGACCCAAAAAGAAAGAAAATCCCCAAAAAGAAAATACTTTCATCATCCTTCAGCACTTTCACCTCATTCACACATAATCACTTTTTGCAGAGGTGCTCAGAATACAACAGTTTAGAAGTATATACGTATAAAGATACACAACATATCCCTCCAAACTGCCAATATCCCAAAACCCCTCCTCAAAGTGCAGGCATTGTACTTCCCATTTCCAGGACTCAAGTCCGGCTATATAAAATAACCTGTTTCCCTGAATCCCTTCACTAAATATTACCCTGCTCACACTCCAACAGCTCATCAGGTCCCAAATACCATTCATCTCCATTCACTCCTATCTAACACGCTCATGCACGCTTGCTGGAAGTCCAAGCCCCTGACCCACACAACCTCCTTTACCCCCTCCCTCCAATCCTTTCGAGGACGACCCCTACCCCGCCTTCCTTCCCCTACAGATTTATAAGCTCTCCATGTCATTCTACTTTGATCCATTCTCTCTAAATGACCAAACCACCCCAACAACCCCTCTTCAGCCCTCTGACTAATATTTTTATTAACTCCACACCTTCTAATTTCCACACTCCGAATTTTCTGCATAATATTTACACCACACATCGCTGCTGCATTTACCACCCAAGCTTCACACCCATATAAGAGTGTTGGTACTACTATACTTTCATACATTCCCTTCTTTGCCTCCATAGATAACGTTCTTTGTCTCCGCATATACCTCAACGCACCACTCACCTTTTTTCCCTCATCAATTCTATGATTAACCTCATCCTTCATAAATCCATCCGCCGACACGTCAACTCCCAAGTATCTGAAAACATTCACTTCTTCCTTACTCCTCCTCCCCAATTTGATATCCAGTTTTTCTTTATCTAAATCATTTGACACCCTCATCACCTTACTCTTTTCTATGTTCACTTTCAACTTTCTACCTTTACACACATTCCCAAACTCATCCACTAACCTTTGCAATTTTTCTTTAGAATCTCCCATAAGCACAGTATCATCAGCAAAAAGTAACTGTGTCAATTCCCATTTTGAATTTGATTCCCCATAATTTAATCCCATCCCTCTCCCAAACACCCTAGCATTTACTTCCTTTACAACCCCATCTATAAATATATTAAACAACCATGGTGACATTACACATCCCTGTCTAAGACCTACTTTTACCAGGAAGTAGTGTCCCTCTCTTCTACACACCCTAACCTGAGCCTCACTATCCTCATAAAAACTCTTTACAGCATTTAATAACTTACCACCTATTCCATATACTTGCAACATCTGCCACATTGCTCCTCTATCCACTCTATCATATACCTTTTCTAAATCCATAAATGCAATAAAAACTTCCCTATCTTTATCTAAATACTGTTCACATTTATTAAACAAAAATACCAACCACTCCAACACTATATCCCCCCCTGCTTTTAAAATTTCTGTCATGATCCCATCAGTTCCAGCTGCTTTACCCCCTTTCATTCTACGTAATGCCTCACGCTCCTCCCCCACACTTACATCCTGCTCTTCTTTACTCCTAAAAGATGGTATACCTCCCTGGCCAGTTCATGAAATTACTGCCTCCCATTCTTCATCGACATTTCAAAGTTCCTCAAAGTATTCTCGCCATCTACCCAATACCTCCATCTCCCCATCTACTAACTCTCCTTCTCCGTTTTTAACTGACAAATCCATTTGTTCCCTAGGTTTTCTTAACTTGTTTAACTCACTCCAAATTTTTTTCTTATTTTCATTAAAATTTCTTGACAGTGCCTCTCCCACTCTATAATTTGCTCTCCTTTTGCACTCTCTCACCACTCTCTTCACCTTTCTTTTACTCTCCATATACTCTACTCTTCTTATAACACTTCTGCTTTGTAAAAACCTCTCATAAGCTACCTTTTTCTCTTTTATCACACCCTTTACTTCATCATTCTACCAATCACTCCTCTTTCCTCCTGCACCCACCCTCCTATAACCACAAACTTCTGCCCCACATTCTAATACTCCATTTTTAAAACTATTCCAACCCTCTTCAACCCCCCCCCCACTACTCATACTTGCACCAGCCCACCTTTCTGCCAATAGTTGCTTATATCTCATTCGAACTTCCTCCTCCCTTAGTTTATATACCTTCACCTCCCTCTTACTTGTTGTTGCCATTTTCCTTTTGTCCCATCTACCTCTTACTCTAACTGCAGCTACAACTAAATAATGATCCGATATATCAGTTGCCCCTCTATAAACGTGTACATCCTGAAGCCTACCCAACAACCTTGTATCCACCAATACATAATCTAACAAACTACTTTCATTACATGCTATATCATACCTTGTATATTTATTTATCCTCTTTTTTATAAAATATGTATTACTTATTACCAAACCTCTTTCTACACATAGCTCAATTAAAGGTTCCCCATTTTCATTTACCCATGGCACCCCAAATTTACCTACTACTCCCTCCACAACATTTTTACCCTCTTTAGCATTGAAATCCCCAACCACAAGTACTCTCACACTTGGTTCAAAACTCCCCATGCATCCACTCAACAATTCCCAAAATCTCTCTCTCTACTCGACACTTCTCTCTTCTCCAGGTGCATATATGCTTACTATAACCCACTTTTCACATCCAACCTTTATTTTACTCCACATAATCATTGAATTAAAACATTTATACTCCCTCTTTTCCTGCATAGCTTATCCTTCAACATTATTGCTACTCCTTCTTTAGCTCTAACTCTATTTGAAACCCCTGACCTAATCCCATTTATTCCTCTCCACTGAAGCTCTCCCACCCCCTTCAGCTTTGTTTCACTTAAAGCCAGAACATCCAGCTTCTTCTCATTCATAACATCCACAATCATCTCTTTCTTATCATTCAAATAACATCCATGCACATTCAGACATCCCACTTTGAAAATTTTCTTATTATTCTTTTTAGTAATTATTACAGGAAAAGGGGTTACTAGCCCATTGTTCCCGGCATTTTAGTTGACTTTTACAACACGCATGGCTTACGGAGGAAAGATTCTTATTCCACTTCCCCATGAATATAAAAGGAAAAGTAATAAGAAACAAGAACTATTATGATAAAATCAAAGAAAACTCAGATGAGTGTGTTTAGATAAATGTGTACATGTATGTATAGTGTGATCTAAGTGTAAGTAGAAGTAGCAAGACATACCTGTAATCTTACATATTTATGAGAGACAAAAGACACCAGCAATCCCACCATCATGTAAAACAATTACAGGCTTTCATTTTACACTCACTTGGCAGGACGGTAATACCTCTCTGGGTGGTTGCTGTCTACCAACCTACTATTCCTTATACAGTGGACCCCCGGTTTACGATATTATTTCATTCCAGAAGTATGTTCAGGTGCCATTACTGAACAAATTTGTTCCCACAAGGAATATTGTGAATTAGATTAGTCCATTTCAGACCCCCAAACATACACGTACAAATGCACTTACATAAATACACTTACATAATTGGTCGCATTGGGAGCTGATCGTAAACCGGGGTCCAGTGTATAATTCTTACACTTTCTTTTGTCCCCTTTTCTTTATACAAGGAATTATGCATGGTCCCTGCCAATTCCTAGATACCTTTCCCCCTTCCCTTTCACACATTTATTGAACAAAAGCACCAATCATTCAAAAACTATATCACCCTCTGCTTTTAACATATGTCTTTATCCCATTAATCCCAGCTGTACTACAATTTTATTTTACCCACTGCCTTATACACCTTCCCCACACTCACATCTGGCTCTCCTTACTCCTAAAAGATGTTATACCTCCCTGGACAATGCATGAAATCACTGCCTCTCTCTCTTCATCAACATTTAACAGCTCCTCAATATACTATTCCTTTCATCTCTCCAATACCTCCATCTCCCAATCTAATAACTTCCCTCTTTTGCTTTTACCTGTTAAATCCATTTATTCCCTAGGCTTGCTCAACTTATTAATATCACTCCAAAAGTTTTTCTTATTCTCAGCAAAATTTTTTAACAGAACCTCACCCATTCCCATTTGCTCTTCTTTTACGCTCCCTCATCACTCTACCTCTCTTTTACTCTCCATATACTCCACCTTCCTCTGGAATGGTAATTTTTTCTCTCTTATCACTCTCTTTACCTCACCATTCCATCAATCATTCCTCTTCCCTCCCACACTCACCCTCCTATATCCACAAACTTCTGCTGTACACTTAACTCTGCTCCATACCTCTTCAACTTTCTCCTCATTACTTATACTCTCAATAGCTCATCTACTCCCAACAGTTGCTCATATCTTACCCTACCTACCTCCCCCTTTAATTTATAAACTTTCACTTTTCTTTTACTCACTAATGCCATACTCTTTGTACCTCTCTATTTCTAACTCTCACCGTAGCTGCAATTTAAAAAATGCATTCAAATATATAGAAGGAAAAATGCTGGTAAAAATACCATACTGTGTAGTTTATAAGGTAAATCTAAATTATAGTAGTTATTAAATATCTGCATCTTAAAAAAGTAAAGTTATAAAACATGAAACAAAATGGATTCATGAACTGAGAAATATGAATTATAAAGAATGACTTAAGATATTAAAATACAGAAGATAATAGATACATACTAAACAAAAATTTATAAAAATATGGAAAAGAATATAGTACTGTACAAGTATTTCTTGGAGCTAGCAATGTAAAAGTAACGTACAGCAATGGAATTGGAATGATATGTAAAGCCCAATGTGTGCAAAATGTTTTCACTAATAAAGATTTTCTCTCCTTCTAAGTGCCAAGAAAGCCAAATCAATATAAAATGATACTGGAAAATATTTCTTCACAGTACAGTATAACAGTCTGAATAAAATCTGAAATTATGTACCCAAACAGAAGATTTGTACAAAAAACTTAAAACACGAGGGACTTTACAAACTGTTGTTAATACAACATAATTAAAAATAGGTATTGATACAAAATATATCAGGGCTCCAAATACCAGGAATAAACTATGAACCTTACACATTAGCATACTTATTACAGTACAGAATATTGTAATTTCCATTACAGTACAGTACAGTATTAATACATCAATAAAATTTTTATGATTTATATGTTGTACCTGCTGTACTCGCCAACAATTATTTCATCACAGTCCCAACAGATATAGCTATCATTCTTCGCACTTTCTGGGATGCGTGTGAGCTGCAGGGCATGTAGAGCAGTGATCACTTCAACATTAAACTCGCCTGAGCCAAGTTTCTTGTACAAGGGTTTGCCCTCTACAGCTTCACCACAAACTACACATTCATCCGCCATTGTGTTTGCCTTCTAGAGTGGTGTTATTTTTTTTAGAGATGACACTTCTCTTGCATCTGTAAGAATATATTTATTTAGAAACATACTTAGCAATGACACACATGAACTACCTTATTCAGAAAATATATACACAAACATGAATTTTACAAAACACTGTACACAGAAAAACACTATGCATATGTAATTTTATTTAGGTACAGGTACACCTAATTACAATTATCATACATAGTTTAAAATGACTGATAAAAAAAAGTATGATAATAAATGTGGATTGATGGACTGCTGAAGTCTAACTCAAGCAAGCTGAAAGAATGTCCCCCAAGAAAGTAAGGAAATGCTGAATGAATGGATGATATTGGTAAAGTGTATACAGATTGAATTTGTAGATATAAGGAGAAGACTATAAGAAAATGAGAAGATACTATACATAGATAAAATATGGTATGAATGTTTGATGCATAAGTAGTCTCCTTGGAAAATTAATGACACACATTACAGTATGTATATAAGAACATAAAATAGGTGGAATAATAGTTTATGAAGCAGCCAAGACATTGCCATGGATAATTTGCTGGAATGATGGAAGTGTATAATAACAGTATTTTGTGATTCTATTTAGCATGAAGGATAACCTGAAACAATGTACAATCTACAGTGTAAAAAATCTTTCGTAAACATGTAATACTTCTTTTTCTTTCAACAAACTGGCTGTATCCCACTGAAGCAGGGTGGCCCAAAAAGAAAAACAAAAGTGTAGTTTTTTAAATTTAGTAATGTATGCAGAAGGGGTTACTAGCTCCTTGCTCCTGGCATTTTAGTTGCCTCTTATGACATGCATGGCTTACAGAGGAAGAATTCTGTTCCACTTCCCCATGGAGAAAGTAACAATTATTTAAACCAAAAATGTATCAGCATTATCTTCCTCCCATTTTCATTTTGGCACTTTTTCACCTTGTCTTTTTTTATAATTTTGATTTATTGAATAACTTTTCATCTTATTCCTCATCCCTGAAACAGAAAATTATCCTCACTCTACTAATGAGTGGAGCTGTAATTAACACTGTGTACATCAATATTTTCTTTGTAAAATATATATAAAAATGCAATGCTCAACAATTAAATTGATGTTGTGTAGACATATATAAATATATCTTGCAAAATAAATATCTTAACCCTTTTATTATGTAAGGTCTATGTTTTTAAAATTACAGTGGTAGTACCTTGAGTTTCGAACAGCTCCCAACTTGAACAATTATGTAAGTGTATTTTTGTAAGTGCTTTTGTAAAAAATGCTCTCAAAGTTGTTGCTGGCTACAACCCCAACTATGGTGCTAATGTGAGAATTGTGAGAATGATGTACATAGCCTATGTTAGGTAATTAATTCATTATGCTGCTCCCATGTTGATATTAGCTAGAGAAAGTTCTCTCCGACCCTTGGAGTTAATGCAAAATGAAGCTCTCAGAATTATTCTTGGTTGTCCCAAATCTACAAAGGTTCTTAATATGAGGAAGGAGCTTGGTATTTCTAGTATCAGTGATAGGATTGTTGAGATTAACACAGTACTTGGTATTAGAATGTTAAGAAATGAGCCAGACACTGTCACAATGAATCTTACCAAGTGTCTCGAAGTAAATACACACAGATCTAAATGGATTGTGAAAATGTGCAATTGCATTAAGTTTTATAACCTGCATGAACTGTATCACTGTAGACAACAGGAACATTTCACCCCTCCATGGAAGATGTGTTCATTTCATATCATATACCTGCAAGTCCCTCCCATGAAGCTCATTGCTAGTAATCCCTTCCTTAAATCACTTGTTAAAGCAACTGCTCAAGAAGAAATTTCTCTCCTAGCTGGTAGTAATAAGTTATCACAAGTTATATACACTGGTGGATCTAAACAGGAGTCTTCTGGCAGGGCTGCAGCTGCTCGTTGCCACCTCCCTAGTTAAGAACGATAATAAACTTGTTGAACTAGGCATAAGAATTAACAACTGGGCATCTACATTGCAAACTAAATTGTTTGCAATCCTAATGGCACTAAAGCTAACTTATGATACTGAGCTCCGACTCTATCATCGTTACTGATTCTATGTCATCACTGAATGCTCTTAACTCATGCTCATTGGAGAAGCCAAGTATAGATACTCAAAAATCAGGGACAAAGGAATTAATGTACAATTGCCATGGCCCCCATCACACATTGGATTACTCCTTCATGATAAAGTTGATATGTTAAGCCAAGAAGAGTACCCAGAAAGAGAATGTAGAATATAACTTTGGTATATCTGGCCCATGGCCGGGCTCAATGTAGATAAACTCTCGAAACTCTTCAAAGGTAATGGTATGTGTCTAGCATTAGGAATAATATTAGAAGTAAATGAAAATGATTGTTATAGGAATGCAGTTAGAAGCCTGGGTAGATCTATAACCCACTAAGATAACATGAACATAGATAAGTATGTTTATGGAGCAACTTGCAATGTGAACAGACTGACTGATGTTGTAGTGGCCAGGCTTAGGCTTGGTTACAAGTACTTCTGGCAGTTTGGGAGACACAGATGATGATCAAACTAAATGCAAATTATGTGATCAGGCATATTGTCACTCTCTTGAACACTATGTGCTTAATTGCCCACTTATTGAGGAATGCAGAGATAGACAGTATAATAACCTATGTGACATGTCAAGATATCTTATTAATGAAAATAAGATACCAGATATACTAAGCAAATTTCCTAAATTTGTAACAGGTAAGTGAAATATAGATATGTAGATATAAATCCATATGTACTCCTGTTAACCCTTTGGGGCCTAGTTCCTAGGCCTTTTGTGTATCCATATGCTCTTGCACTACCGTCCACAGGATGGATATGGGGTGCACAATAAACTAGCCACTTCGGGGGCAAAATCTAATCTAAATCTTTTGTAAGTGTATTTTTGGGGGTCTGAAACGGAGTAATCTAATTAACATTATTCCTTATGGGAACAAATTCGTTCGGTATCAGCACTCAAACAGCCTTCTGGAACGAATTAAATTCATAACTCTAGGTACCACTGTATAATTAACGCTTAAATGAAAAATAAGAGTACAGTGGACCCCCGGATAACGATATTTTTTCATTCCAGAAGTATGTTCAGGTGCCAGTACTGACCGAGTTTGTTCCCATAAGGAATATTGTGAAGTATATTAGTCCATTTCAGACCCCCAAACATACACGTACAAACGCACTTACATAAATACACTTACATAACTAGTCGCACTGGGAGGTGATCGTTAAGCGGGGGTCCACTGTAATTTCTAGAGTTCCAAAAACAATATACGTAACAGAAAATTATCTATAGTATAACCTAGATAGTTTTAACTGGGTTCTAATTAAAAAAGTATGAAAGAGTCCCTTAACTGAGACATGTTAACTTGTATTAGTTATTAGTCATAAAATTTAGAGGATAGACATATTAATAGCTTAACTATTATTTAATAAGCTAAAAACAACAGTCAATCACAATATACCTGGAGTATACCTGAAGAGGATTTTGGGGGTCAATGCCCCCGTGGCCCGGTCTGTGACCAGGCCTCATGGTGGATCAGGGCCTAATCAACCAGGCTGCTACTGTTGGCTGCTTGCAACCTGACGTACGAACCACAGCCCGGCTGGTCAGGTACTGACTTTAGGTGCCTGTCCAGTGCCTTCCTGAAGACAGCCAGGGGTCTACTGGTAATTCTCCTTATGTATGCTGGGATGCAGCTGAACAGTCTTGGGCCCCTGACACTGTGTTGTCTCTTATCGTGCTAGTGGCACCTGCTTTTCATTGGGGGGGATGTTGCATTGCCTGCCAAGTCTTTTGCTTTCCATAGGGAGTGATTTTTGCATGCAAGTTTGGCACTAATTAATCCCTCTAGGATTTTCCAAGTGTATATAAACATGTATCTCTCCTGCCTGCATTCCAGGAAGTACAGATTGACGAACTTTAAGCGTTCCCAGTAATTGAGGTGTTTTATCACAGTTATGTGCCGTGAAGGTTCTCTGTACATTTTCTAGGTCTGCAATTTTACCTGCCTTTAAAGGTGCTGTTAGTGTGCAGCAATATCCCAGCTTAGATAGAACAAGCAACCTGAAGAGTGTCATCATGGGCTTGACATCCCTGGTTTTGAAGGTTCTCATTATCCATCCTGTCATTTTTCTAGCAGATGTGACTGATACAATGTTGTGGTCTTTGAAGGTGAGATCCTCTGACCTTATCACTCCCAGGTCTTTTATGTTAGTTTTTTGCTCTACTGTGTAGTTTAAATTTGTTTTATACTCCAATACAGTATTAATTTCCTCACGTTTTCCATATCAGAGTAATTGAAATTTCTCATCATTGAACTTCATATTGTTTTCTGCAGCCCATTTAAAGATTTGGTTGATGTCCGCTTGGAGTCTTGCAGTGTCTTCAATGGAGGACACTGTCATGCAAATTCGGGTGTCATCTGCAAAAGAAGACATGGTGCTGTGGCTTACATCCCTATGTCAGATATGAAGATGAGGAACAGGATGGAAACAAGTATTGTGCCTTGTGGAGCAGAGTTTTTCACTGTAGCTGCCTCAGATTTTACTCTGTTTACTACTACTCTGTTCTATTTGTTAGGAAATTATAGATCCATGTACCAACTTTTCCTGTTATTCCTCTATCACACATTTTGTGTGCTATTACACCATGGTCACACTTGTCAAAGGCTTTTGCAAAGTCTGTGTATACTACATCCTGCATTTTGTCTGTCTTCTAGAGCATCCAGGACCTTGTCATAGTGGTCCAGTAGTTGGAACAGGCAGGAGCGACCTGCTCTAAACCCATGTTGCCCTGGGTTGTGTAACTGTTAGGTATCTAGATGGGTGGCAATCTTGCTTCTTAAAACCCTTCAAAGATTTTTATGATATGGGATGTTTGCACTATCGGTCTGTAGTTCTTTGTTATTACTTTACTGTTGTTTTTAGCAGCTGTGAGACAACCTCTGTGTCCATACTCCCTCTCCATAGGATGTTAAAAACACACGATAGGGGCTTATTGCAGTTCTTGATGAACAAGGAGTTCCATGAGTCTGGGCCTGGGGCAGAGTGTACGGGCATGTCATTTATCGCTTCTTCGAAGTCATTTGGCAACAGGATAATACCAAATAGGTTTGAGTCTACTAAATTCTGTGTCTCACTCACAAAAAATTAATTTAGGTCTTCGGCTCTGTCTGGTTAGCGGCTTGCTAAAAACCGAGTCATATTAGGACTCGAGTAGCTCACTCATTTCTTTGCTGTCATCTGTGTAGGACCCATCTTGTCTAAGTAGGGGCCCAATACCGGATGTCACTCTTGACTTTGATTTAGCATAAGAAAAGAAATATTTTGGGTTTATTTCAATTTCATTTATGGTTTTTAGTTCTTCCCGCATTTCTTGACTCCTGTAAGATTCCTTTAGCTTTAGTTCAATGTTTGCTATTTCTCTTACCAGTGCCTTCCTTCATATTACAGACATATTGACCTCTTTCAGACACTCTGTTATTCTTTGCCTTCACCTGTATAGAGTGCGCCTTTCTCTTTCTAGTTTACATCTTCTCTTCCTTTTCCTTAAAGGAATATGCCTTGAGCATACGTCAAGTGCCACAGAGTTAATTTGTTCCAGAAGTAGGTTTGGATCCATGTTGCTTAGGCTATCTTCCCAGTTTATATCATTTAGGACCTGACTGACTTGGTCCCACCTTATGTTTTTGTTACTGAAGTTGAATTTGGTGAAGGTTGCCTCGTGACTGATCACATTTTGTTGGTCTGGAGCCCTGCGCATACATGTCTGAACCTCTATTATGTTGTATCTGAGTATATTGTCTTTGATATGGTAATATTTCATATCAGATCATCATTGTTAGTGAAGATCAGGTCCAGTGTATTCTCCAATCATGTTGGCTCTAATATTTGCTGGTTTAAAGTGAATTTGGTGCAGAGATTTAAAGGCTAGTGTGTATGTGAATTTTCATCTGAGCTGCCTCCTTGGTTTATCTCTGCTATGGCATTATTTGCTACATTCCTCCATTTTAGGTGCCCTAGATTGAAATCCCCCAGAAGCAAGATGTTTGGGGCAGAAACTGGAAGATTTTCCAGACAGTGGTCTATTTTCAAAGGCTTGTATACAACCACAATGACCAGGTTTTGGTTCTTGAACTTTACTGCCAAGACTTCAACTACATCATTTGAGGCATTTAGTAGTTCCGAGCATATCAGTGACTGATGTACAGGCCAGCTCCCACCCTGTTGCATGTTCACTCTGTCACATCTGTATAGGTTATAACCCAGAATCTATATTTCATTGTCAAGGTAATCCTTTATGTGGGTCTCTGTGAAGCAGTCCATGAATGAAAGGTATTTTGTTGTTCGTTGTGGGCTTTAGACCCTGTATGTTTGCAAAGATGAATGTCATCGTATTGGTGGCATGAGGGGGTCTTTTTTTCCCTGGCACTAGTATCTGTTGTTTTGGAGTGGAGGCCATTGACTATGATTCCGCTCCAAAAATTATCAGAGTTGGTGTACGATTTCTGTCATTTCCTGCCAGCTTTTTTCTTTCCTGGTGCTAAAAAAAACTCTCTCTTTGGAGTGGCTGTGGCTACCCAGGTTTTCCCATGGTCTGGATGTTCTGTATCTTCTTGTTCCCTTGAGGTGATGTGCCTGACAATATAAGTTAAAGCATTGTCTTTCCTGAACTTTAGAGTGACACATTTCAGGATGGAAAAGCTTACAGGAAGGAAGCTTGCATTTTCCTGTTGTCATATGGGCATGGCATTTTCTGGGGTGGTCAAAGTTGCGCGTCCCATCTGTTTTTCCAGATATTCCATGCCTGCAGGATATGTAATGCATAGAATTTGCATAGGTCTGAGTTCTGTTTGCTTTGACAATGACAATTCTTTTTCAGTAAGCAAAGTATACAACAGTTATAAGAATTGGTGAAAAGTTAGTTACACAGATTTATTGGAATGCAGAGAGAACATTTTGTGAAGTCTTAAAATTAGCTTAAATTTTATAGTACAAAATTTTGTTGTGTGAGATTATCAGAATGTTATGCTACAAATATTATTACATGTTAACATTTTTTTTACAACATACAGTATCACTATATCATGTCATAGTTAATACTGAAATGGAGAGAAGTTGTGGTTATAACATACCTGGATATATAGTGCTGAGTTTGTATTGGGCGTAATGCTGCTTTGCTCTAAATGAACAGGTTGCTTCTGATGTACTGAATCATGTTAGTTAATCTGTGCATAATTTATACTGAATTTGAGGCATTTCTTAAAATATTTTTGAAGCAGTTCACAGATAGGGATCTTTTAGCATGTTTTAGCAGAGTTCCAGATTTTAGGGCCTCTAATTTGCATGAGTTTCTAAATAGGTTGAGTAGTACATGAGGTATATCAGAAAGAGACTTGTTTCTAATATGGCAGTAAGTAAAGGTTTTAATCCGGGAATAAAATAAATACTGACCCAAAATGAGCCTGTTTACAAATGACATTTTGCTCTAAGAAGAGCCTTATCTAGTTGGGTCACTCTACTCAAGAGTTTTATCAGCTCACTGTACTCAAGAGTTTTATCAAGCTTCTCTGCTCAGAGTTTTACCAAGTCAAATTATTTTACTCAGAGGAAAACATCATGTGCAAATAAAGGTTTACTCTGCATATATCTTTACTAAATTAGCACTTAAGAGAGGACACATGACAACTGATTGAAACATCATAATTTGTCATTTGTTCCAATCAGTTTTGTGACTTTTTTTTTTTTACCATATAAGCAAGTAAGTTTATTTAGGTACAGGTACTGACAAGTACAAGTACCATACATAGTTTAACATGTGTAAATTACCTAGGATAACCCCCCCAAAAAAATCCGAAAAAGTGACTGATTTACATTGGTAAGTCTAGTCATCCAACACTGGTACATTAAACCTGAGTAAGGCTTAATCATACCTTTGAGAATGAGACCACAAAGAAAATAAATTACATTAGGTTATGGTAATTATATTATTTGGCTTTAGTGTCATCTTAAGCTAAATGTTAATAAATTCTCACAACTGCATGACTATTAATGTGGCAAAAGCACTGTAGCAATTTAGTTCAGAAATTTGTAAGCACAAGCACAAATATATACTTAACTTTGATCCATATCACTTACTTTTCTTTGTAATTTTGCAAGATATGTTGATTTTTACCAAGAGGTTCCTGACTGAGGTTGCTGAGGCATCATCCATGAGGTGAGGCAGCTAGGTAGGCTATCCTTAGCTAGCACAACCATTCCCCTTGCCTATATGCCAAGTGGTAGTGACAACCTGCCACTTTATACACCCTAGTGGATCACTTGCCACCACTGCAGCACTAGCACTAGCAACCTACGCCCGTCCTCGCTGATATAGAGCTTAAGCTTTACATTCGTCCATGTTGGAACTCTCGTGTCCCCCCGACACAAGTGTTGTAGCTATGTCTACCTCGCTTCATAGGTCATGACAGGCGTTCCTAGTCCTGCCACACACACCGAGGGAGGAGCTAGATGTAGTGATGGTGAAGAACACCCAGGTTACATACCCCTGGAAGGAGGGAGATGAGGTTGAAGTGATGGAGAGAGACAGCCACTCCACCCCAGGGTTCCTCTCACAATAAACAAGACAGCCGCCGCCACTGTAGTAAAAACCTGCCACTATGATAGTCAGTTGCCACCCACTGCCACAGATTACCACTGTCCCCCTACAGTTACACTCATATACATCACTCCCACTCCACACTGACAGTATACACTTGTATATAAGCGATATTATGTCCGATATATGAGAATGGTATGATGGGTCACCTGATACGCACTAGGCAACACCAACTCCATCACCAATTATACCTCTTATATATCATATTTTTCATCTTCAGACTGAATCTAACGCAAACTATTAACCTAATATAAATTTCTCCTATTTTATAACTGATAACAACATAGAATATTCCTTTGTTCTTGTCTGTGTGCAATCCAGGTTTAAGAAATTATCATTCTTTGTTAGACTAATCAGACAATGTAGACTTATATACAGAATATGTAAATCATTAAAAGCAACTACATATATAAATACATTATATAAAATACTAAAACGTTTGTGAGGGTCTGAGGTATGGTAAGCAGGCACTGTAAACACTTGTATTTCCATTCACAAAAATATGAATCATTGAAAAATTATCACCCATTATAGATCAACCTGTATAGATCCTCTATACTAAATATCAATAAATGATTGTACGATCGTGTAATGTCGTGGAGAATAAAACTTTTTTTTTTAAATAAGTGCGTAGCCGGACGGTGGCCGTGGACATAATGGCGTGATAACATGATGCCGTCTACTCTCACATCAAAACATTTTTGCAAAACTATCACCTGCTCTTAGATTTCTGCATTGACTGACTGCTAACACAACGTTCAAACATATATTTACATTTTGTTAAATTAAAATGATTATTACTATTGCACGTAGTTTTAATAAAGTTATGTTAGAGCAATAACACGAGCATCGACAGCTTCCACGGCCACCGTGGTAATACTCGCCGAAATTAAATCCAAATGAGCATTATCGAAGATTTTTGTAATTTAAGTATTAATGCGATTTTTAGCAGAATATAGAAGTATTATGGGCTATAGTTTACAATTACTACTCGAAGGAAATCGCGCATTAGTTAACATTTCACCATATATACCAACTTTACACATTGCAGAATAAGTATTTCTTATGCACATTGTTATTTTGGGAGATATTAGCGAAAAAGGCATCTTCATCTTGGTCGTGTAGCACGTCGAGACAAACGTCTGATCGAATGTAAACGAAGACGTGTATACACCGATGGCGGAGTAAGGGTAGGGCGAAATTAAATATCAACACGATGGACACATGCAGAACTTGCCTGGTATGGGCCGGTGGACCTGCATCTATTACTCCACTCTAATGTTTTTATTTTTATTGATAAAGATTCGCACACACAGTAGGCTTTAACAAGTTACGAACATACCTGGGGAGAGAGGATGTGAATATATATATATATATATTATATTATATATATATATATATATATATATATATATATATATATATATATATATATTATATATATATATATGTCGTGCCGAATAGGCAGAACTTGCGATCTTGGCTTAAATAGCAACGTCATCTTGCCATATAGGACAAGTGAAAATTTGTGTATGCAATAATTTCGCCAAAATCATTCTGAACCTAGCGAAAAAATATATTTGATTGTCTTTGTTTAGTACTAAATTACTGTAATCGTATCTAAAATATATTTAGTTGTGTAGTCTAAAATAAATTGTTTTGTTATAATAGTTAGCGTAAAGTTTCTAAGTTCTTTTGTGGTGGCAAAATAATAAAAGATTTTACAATATAACAATTAAATATAAAATACATGACTTCTATCTTTAATACGTATAAGTTATTATGAAAAATTTCAGAACAGACTTAATTTCAACATGGAGTTGTTGTAATATTACCATTATTACATATTCGGCAGACATATATATATATATATATATATATATAGAAGATGAGTAAGTATAGAGAGAGAGAGAGAGAGACAGAGAGAGAGAGAGAGAGAGAGAGAGAGAGAGAGCAAATGGATTTGTCAGTTAAAAATAGGAGAGGAGAGTTATTAAATGGAGAGTTAGAGGTATTAGGAAGATGGAGGGAATATTTTGAGGAATTGTTAAATGTTGATGAAGATAGGGAAGCTGTGATTTCGTGTATAGGACAAGGAGGAAGATAAGATAAGATTTCGTTCGGATTTTTAACCCCGGAGGGTTAGCCACCCAGGATAACCCAAGAAAGTCAGTGCGTCATCGAGGACTGTCTAACTTATTTCCATTGGGGTCCTTAATCTTGTCCCCCAGGATGCGACCCACACCAGTCGACTAACACCCAGGTACCTATTTGCTGCTAGGTGAACAGGACAACAGGTGTAAGGAAACGTGTCGAAATGTTTCCACCCGCCGGGAATCGAACCCGGGCCCTCCGTGTGTGAAGCGGGAGCTTTAGCCACCAGGCCACCGGAAGAGCCAGTTGTGAGTGTGGGGGAAGTTCGTGAGGCAGTAGATAAAATGAAAGGGGGTAAGGCAGCCGGATTGATGGGATAAAGATAGAAATGTTAAAAGCAGGTGGGGATATAGTTTTGGAGTGGTTGGTGCAATTATTTAATAAATGTATGGAAGAGGGTAAGGTACCTAGGGATTGGCAGAGAGCATGCATAGTTCCTTTGTATTAAGGCAAAGGGGATAAAAGAGAGTGCAAAAATTATAGGGGGATAAGTCTGCTGAGTATACCTGGTAAAGTGTATGGTAGAGTTATTATTGAAAGAATTAAGAGTAAGACTGAGAATAGGATAGCAGATGAACAAGGAGGCTTTAGGAAAGGTAGGGGGTGTGTGGACCAGGTGTTTACAGTGAAACATATAAGTGAACAGTATTTAGATAAGGCTAAAGAGGTCTTTGTGGCATTTATGGATTTGGAAAAGGCGTATGACAGGGTGGATAGGGGGGCAATGTGGCAGATGTTGCAAGTGTATGGTGTAGGAGGTAGGTTACTGAAAGCAGTGAAGAGTTTTTACGAGGATAGTGAGGCTCAAGTTAGAGTATGTAGGAAAGAGGGAAATTATTTCCCAGTAAAAGTAGGCCTTAGACAAGGATGTGTGATTCACCGTGGTTGTTTAATATATTTATAGATGGGGTTGTAAGAGAAGTAAATGCGAGGGTCTTGGCAAGAGGCGTGGAGTTAAAAGATAAAGAATCACACACAAAGTGGAGTTGTCACAGCTGCTCTTTGCTGATGACACTGTGCTCTTGGGAGATTCTGAAGAGAAGTTGCAGAGATTGGTGGATGAATTTGGTAGGGTGTGCAAAAGAAGAAAATTAAAGGTGAATACAGGAAAGAGTAAAGTTATGAGGATAACAAAAAGATTAGGTGATGAAAGATTGAATATCAGATTGGAGGGAGAGAGTATGGAGGAGGTGAATGTATTCAGATATTTGGGAGTGGACGTGTCAGCGGATGGGTCTATGAAAGATGAGGTGAATCATAGAATTGATGAGGGGAAAAGAGTGAGTGGTGCACATAGAAGTCTGTGGAGACAAAGAACTTTGTCCTTGGAGGCAAAGAGGGGAATGTATGAGAGTATAGTTTTACCAACGCTCTTATATGGGTGTGAAGCATGGGTGATGAATGTTGCAGCGAGGAGAAGGCTGGAGGCAGTGGAGATGTCATGTCTGAGGGCAATGTGTGGTGTGAATATAATGCAGAGAATTCGTAGTTTGGAAGTTAGGAGGAGGTGCGAGATTACCAAAACTGTTGTCCAGAGGGCTGAGGAAGGGTTGTTGAGGTGGTTCGGACATGTAGAGAGAATGGAGCGAAACAGAATGACTTCAAGAGTGTATCAGTCTGTAGTGGAAGGAAGGCGGGGTAGGGGTCGGCCTAGGAAAGGTTGGAGAGAGGGGGTAAAGGAGGTTTTGTGTGCGAGGGGCTTGGACTTCCAGCAGGCATGCGTGAGCGTGTTTGATAGGAGTGAATGGAGACAAATGGTTTTTAATACTTGACGTGTTGTTGGAGTGTGAGCAAAGTAACATTTATGAAGGGGTTCAGGGAAACCGGCAGGCCGGACTTGAGTCCTGGAGATGGGAAGTACAGTGCCTGCACTCTGAAGGAGGGGTGTTAATGTTGCAGTTTAAAAACTGTAGTGTAAAGCACCCTTCTGGCAAGCAGTGATGGAGTGAATGATGGTGAAAGTTTTTCTTTTTCGGGCCACCCTGCCTTGGTGAAAATCGGCCAGTGTGATATAATATATATATATATATATATATATATATTATATATATATATATATATATTATATATATATATATTATATATATATATATATATATATATATATATATATATATATAGGGAACGTAGTAATGTGAAAAGTCAGGTGAGATATGTTGAAACTTAATTCCTAGGTACACAAGAAACAGGTCGGAAAAATTCATGGCTTGGATTCAAGAAAGACTTTCCTAGCTTGGGCCAGTAGGCCTGTTGCAGTGCTACTCTGCTGTGACCTATAGCTTCCTAGCAAGATGCTCAGCTGTGTTGCAGAAGCTGTTGCTCTGGTTAAAGATGTTTGATATGCTAATTAGTTAGGATTCCAGACTCCTGTTTCAGTGTGTCTTCTTCTTTGACAAAGAATCTTGCACCATTGTAATTGATCACTTGTTTGTGTGAGTTTCTGTGTGAAACACAGATTGTTCAGGTGGTCCATTCTGCTGGCATATTGGTGTTCAGAAATGTGTGTGAAGGTCTCTTTATGTTTCTTCCGCGTATATTTGGTCATAGTCGTAAATTGGGATACCCTTGTCATGGTTAAGACATGTTGGTGGTATTTCTTATTGGTAATATTCTTCATTTGTGGAGGCATTGATGGATATTTGGAATTTGGTGTTGGAGAAAATAATGTAGATGTGTTTAGCAATGGAGTTGTTAGGGATGACAGCCAATAAACTTACGCTTAACGTTGACAAAACCTACTACATTATGTTTGGTAGCAGAGCAGAGATGTGCAAATTAACATTAAGATCGACAACACTCTAATTGCCAGGCATAATGAGGGCAAATTCCTAGGCCTATACCTCGACAACAACCTGAACTTCAGCACCCATATCCAACACATAACCAAAAAAGTATCCAAAACGGTTGGGATCCTCTCCAAGATACGATACTACGTGCCGCAAACTGCCCTTCTCACACTATACCATTCACTTATATATCCATACCTCACATATGTTATCTGTGCTTGGGGATCAACTGCAGCAACACACCTAAAGCCATTAATAACCCAACAAAAAGCCGCAGTAAGAATAATCACTAAATCCCATCCCTGGCAACATCCCCCTCCCCACTCTTCATAGATCTAAACTTACTCCCTGTTCAGTACATCCACACTTACTACTGTGCAATCTACATCTACAGGACCTTAAATTCCAATATTAACCTTGACCTAAAACGCTTTCTTGATAGTTGTGACAGAGCCCACAGGCACAACACCAGACACAAACATCTCTATGACATTCCCCGTGTCC